CGTCTGTAGGTTTGTCTGTCTGCAAATCCTTGGCCGGTCTGCACTTTGGAAAATACTGAAAAAATGTCAAAAATAACGACGAAATGGACTAATTGTATGTACCTGTTTGACAACAATTTTTAGCAACAACCATTTAGGGAACATGAAGCGAATATTTTCAAAATGATTTGCAATCAGATGAAGTTGGACTTGGGAAGATGCACTAAGAAACTTATGCGTCAAACTGAATTAGGAAATATTTCCAATCGTGAATTCTTTGCTGGAATTTGCATTTTATTTGTGAATTTCTGGGATTCTATTAACACTGCTTCATTTAAAACGACTTCCGATTCAAGGAAACAACGGCGTGAAGTGCGACATCACCGTAGTCCACTCATGCCAGGCCACACAAATTTGAACTCGCGAGAGAAACGTCCATTTGCGAGGAAGTATTTTAATTTTGAGGCATTTCGAAAATTGGTTTTTGTTTTTTTATGGATGTTATATGTCATGTACACTACGAAAAACCATGTCATTAATTTTCGTCGGTAGGTTTGCCTGTCGGCAAATCGTTGGCCCGTCTGCACTTTGGAAAGTACTGAAAAAATGCCAAAAATAACGACGAAATGGACTAATTGTATGTACCTGTTTGAAAACAATTTGTAGCAACAACCATTTAGGGAACATGAAGCGAATATTTTCAAAATGATTTGCAATCAGATGAAGTTGGACTTGGGAAGATGCACTAAGAAACTTATGGGTCAAACTGAATTAGGAACTATTTCCAATCGTGAATTCTTTGCTGGAATTTGCATTTTATTTGTGAATTTCTGGGATTCTATTAACACTGCTTCATTTAAAACGACTTCCGATTCAAGGAAACAACAGCGTGAAGTGCGGCAATTTGCGAGCAAGTATTTTAATTTTGAGGCATTTCGAAAATTGGATTTTGTTTTTTTGTGGATGTTATATGTCATGTACACTACGAAAAACCATGTCATTAATTTTCGTCTGTAGGTTTGCCTGTCGGTAAATCCTTGGCCCGTCTGCACTTTGGAAAGTACTGAAAAAATGCCAAAAATGACGACGAAATGGACTAATTGTATGTACCTGTTTGACGGACTTGATCCGTTTAATTTCTCTGTTCCAACTTAAACATTCAGCCAACCATGGACAGCTGTTTCATGATCGTTTGGCAACTCATTAGCATGGTCTAGGCTTGGTCTCTGGGACAACTCTCATCTATCGAAGATGTAAGGTCTATGGGGCTGTCTTATTTCGATAATGTCTAACTGTGCCGAACATATAATCCTTTATGAACTGATTTCAGCGTTGCGTGGGAAGTGCAGACTCAACCTACTTGATGCCATTTATCCAAAATGTGTTTGCATGATAGAATCCCTTAGATATCTCGATTTTCCCTCACCGCTGGCAATCCACAACGATTCAGAGGCGGCGGAAGCGTCGCCAAATTACAGGTAGCGCTTATCGCGGGTGGCTGTGCCACGGCGGAAGTGACTTACGTCTAGACAAAAGAACATCGACCGCCGTAGTAGAAGGATGGTCATTATTTGTTTGTAATCGTAAAAACTGCCTCCTCAGATAAGATTAGCGGATTTATTGTTATGGGTCTGATGGTCTGGTTGTGCATTTATATGGGGCAGTTTTGTCTAGATGTAGGAGCCGGGATGACCGAGGAATGCTGCTTTATTTAAATAAGACGTGGTTGTGGCATCTATTTATTGTTTCCAGGTTGACGCCGTTTTATTATTTAATTAATGATGATATCTCTCTAGTTTCATAGTGGTGGCGGATGAGCGAGCTAATAGACAAATCATAATAAAACAAGCCAACTATACTAACTTCTGCCCACTACATATAACATAAAACTCCTGTATCAACATATACCGTAAGAACTATGAACATCTCTAGTGAGACTTAAGACAATTACTCATGACTGTTACTTGACTGAGGAAGCACATGAATACACGTCACATCTACGTACTACAGTTTTTACTGCGTAAAAGGTTATGAAATTGTTGCTTATACTCGTATGTGTTAATATTAGGAGTACGTATACGATAAAATAGGTATTTGTCTGTCCACAGGTTTGTTCAACTATAGTCAAATAGCATATCAGGATTGTAGCATGGTACGAACGCAATCTATAAATATTGTTATTAGAAACTGTTAGCAAATTTTAGGTATTGGTAATATTGGTAACCGGAAATGCTTCGGTAAGCAGAGGAATGACCCCAACTAAGCTCTATTTCACGAGTATCTATTACGTTTTGACGTCTACTGAAGTGAACAGCTCATCAGCAAGTGTGTGTATTTGTATTAGTCTGTAACGTTGGCAAAAATGAATCGGGTGTAAATCTGGTAAAACTCAGGACCGTATTCAGGGATGGTGTTCTCATATCTAGATAGTTTTAGTGACTGAGAATTTTGACCATAAAATATACCAAGTATATATAGAAAAATATTTATTAGATAATTATTATAGTACTCTCCGAATTTAGTATAGAAAATTAATTCAAATGATCCCTTTTTATATAATTTTGCAATTACATAATTGAATTTGGGGTCTCAAGAAACACAGCTTGCTGTTATAAAGTTGCCAGCGTTTCAAAAAAAATGTATTATTAATATCTTAGATATCAGTTAGACTCAGTGATGGGCGCATTGTATACGTCATGTATGATACACCATTGTATACGCGTATACAATGGTGAATATATACGTCTCGATAATGATGTATACAATGTATACAAATCATAGTTCAACTACTTGCATACAGTGGTGGCGAAAGTCCCTTTCCTTTTTAGATTTTTATGTGTACGAGAGAGAGAGAGAGAGAGGGGAGAAGCGGGCACCACTTGTGTAGAAAGAGTGCATCACACACCACGTTGCCTGGCACAACAGTGGTGAAGGCCACAAATACACATTACCAATTTCTGTTGAATTTGTATAGGATCAATTCCGGTACGATCCTGATGGTGCTCCGATTTTAGGTGGAACTGAAACTTCAGGATCACTACAAATTCTATTGGTTTGTCTGTGAAACCAGTTTATAAATAATGAGAAAGGGTATAATTATATAATATTTATTTATACACGTATACAAAGATACAGTTTTAAATAAATTAGGAACATTTCTGAAGTAAAATAAAATAAAATACTTTCTGGAAACAAACTCATCGCTGAGTGAAGACAGTCAAATTACCTCACCCTTCGAAATATGTCTTTGAATTTTTAAATAAAATTAACCCTAGCTCATCGATTTCTTTGTTCTTTGGGCGTCCAGCCATATTTTATTAAAATTGCCGGTTCACTGTTCACCAACTTTCTCACGTTTGCGAATAAACCTAACCTCACTTATGCTATTCTATACATTAATCAAATTCAAGCGGATAACCAAATGGAAATGGTATTTACCATTTTGGGTTGGTATTTACCAATTCGTTCAAGCGAGTGTAGTTATCAGTTTGGTTATAAGATCCGTGACGTCACGAATCAGCTGTTATATGTCATAGTTATCACGCAAAATTGTGGTATTTACCCAACTCAAGAGTAGCTTTATATTTCTGGTTATTATTTGAAATGTGACAAGTTAGAATTTTGCCGGTTATTGGATATTGTTATTGAACTTCAGCTTTATTTTTGAGAAAAATGATACAGGCTGACTTCAGTTTTACCATAAAGTGGAGCACCTTATTAGTTATACTCATTACGGTTGTTGGGGACACTTTAAATGTAGTTCCTATGCTTAACAAAGTATCCTGTGTAGCCATATACCACAAGAATATTAAAATATGGCCCTATAAACTCACTAGATGATATCCACCTGTATACGGTTTTGCTAATTTCTTTTTTCATCATTTCTGCTGAATCAATAAATGTTTTCTTTGACATGAGGAAAAATTTAGAGAATTGAAAGTTATCATAGCTACAAAGCCATGGTTCCATCATTAAAAAAATCTGAAAAAAACATTTCTCCCATGAATATTATGAAAGGTTTCTTATTTAAACTTTCCATATACAGTTGTAGATGAAAAAGCACCGATTATTAAGTGATAATAAAAATAATCAGAGATTATATATGCGCTTTTCTAAAATAAACAACTTGCAACAAAACCGCGGTTAAAACCAACGCTTTCAAGCGATTCGTGTAACTGACGTCATCAACCCTTGTGTCATCTTGAACCATATTATAACCGCGGCACATAACACAGAAATTTTGGTTATTCGCTTGGATTTGATTATTGTCTTCATCATTATATACATTGTAGTGATGGGTAATGAATACTTTTGCAAGTATCGAATAGATAACGATACTTTATCTGTAAGTATCCCATACTGAGTATGCAATACCGATACCAAGTATCGGCTCGATTAATTGCCGTTAGTATCCGTTAATTTAATACTGCTAGTGTGAAATAATAATAATAAATAATAATAATCATGTCTTTGGTCTCCTATAAGTAGGTATCATCGAGTATAGAGTAGAAATTAGAAATGACTGATGAGTAGTGATGACTGATGAGCGATACCCGGAATTTTAAATTACATTTCTATATTTGCTATTGTTACAATATTGGTTAAAAATAAAATATAAATTCTGGGCTTTTGTAACCAGAAATTAATTTCAGCCTTTTGCTTCAGTTAAGTGTTAGAAATCAAAATGAAACAGTTTAATTCCCAAAAGTTCGCCCAATTGACATCCGAAACGTGCAACAACCTAAAAATCGTATTCAAATTACCAATCTCGTAAGACTGCCTTAGTATTTTATCCTTTCGGTTCACAATACCTAAGATCGAACATCTACATAAACGTGACGGTAGACATCAACATCCTTATCTTAACGAGTTCTGGGAATCCCACGTGTCGGCCTCGACGTTGCGTTGAGAAGAACTGCTGGGTTATGTCATATCAAATAGTATAGCTTACATATTTAGATAAGTTTCGAAGTGCTTAGTGTATTATATAATATATTATCTTTTTCAAAATATAATAAAATATGAGTGATAAAAGAAGAAGTGGTGTTTGGTTGTATTTCAATGCAATTGATTCAAATAAAGCAAAGTGTGACATTTGCAAAAATCTCTTATCCTATAAAGGTGGTGCAACCTGCAATTTGAGTAAACATTTGAAGGCGAAGCATTTTGCGGTAATAACGCAAGATCTTCCGTCTCCTTCGTCTTTAAGAACATCTGCGGAGTTGGAGGAAATACCCGGACCATCAACTTCTTCTACACCTTGGAAGTCAGAAGTCACCCCAGGAAGTTCGGCTTATGACGCCACAAAAAAAATTGATAAGGGCAAAAGACCAATGCCTTTTCCCTCATCAAAACAATCTAAAATATCGACTTTTGCTATGCGGCCAATGTCTATTCCTCGTACTAAGAACCTGCGTATAAAAGTTTTAAACATCATTATAAAAGACATGCAGCCATTTACAATTGTTGAAGATGAAGGGTTCAGAGAATTGTTAGAAGAGTTTGATCCTGCTTATAAACTTCCTTCAAGAAAAACTTTGAGCAACATTTTGTTGCCAGAACCATATGATGAGGTTGTTCAGAAAGTAAAGAATTTACTAAAAAATTCGGAGTATTTGACGATTACGACAGATACTTGGACTTCCACAGCTGTTGAAAGTTATTTGGCCATAACCGTACATTATTTTTCTGTCACTCTCTGTCTACACTACAGTATGTATAAATAGTCAGATTGTCAGTATTTATTACAGTATGCGATACATTTATCAAAAAGTATCGGATACTTCTGACTTCGGAAAGTATCGGATCTTTTGTATCGGATATATACTTTTTGCCCACCACTAATACATTGCATTCATTGTATACGCAATGTATACATTCTATACGCATTGTATACATCGAGACGTAGACAATTAATGTATACGCGCAAACGCCCATCACTGGTTAGACTGGAAGTGATCAATATAACAAACGAAATACTATTACGAGATGTCATTAGTCTGTGTCTAGGTATTTCGAGTTCTGGAAAGGATAGATGATTAACAAAGTCAAAATCTGTTCACCTTATTGTAGGTATTCCTATCTGATCATGATCATTAGAAGGACAGAAAAAATTAATGAAATGAATTAACGTGTTTCATTACGAGAGGAAAAGTCCAAGATTACAAATTTATTACAGGATGTTATACAGGCATTGTGAAGGAAAACAAACCAACGGGAACATACCGCGACAACATTGCCGCACTGCTCTATTAAAACATCACAAAAGCAATGATTGCAAGGCATGCGCGCGTAGTGTGGCAGGCACAGGCAGAGCGATAACCACATATCGTTGGGGGCGAACAATTGGATTAGCCGTTTAACGTCAAGTTTGAGTAATGGCCGGTAACCCTGCCCCCTCTCTGCAGCGGCGGCGTGGAAGCGGCGGGCGGCCGCCTCCGCTTTGCCGCTGCCGCTTGCGCGCCACGGATGCTGATTAAAATGTAATCTAATATTGCCCGGCGGACGGGAGATGTACCACGATTGGCGTGCGGGGTTAAGGGCGATGGGCGCGTATTGAGAGTTAATGGTTCTGAAAAAATAAGCGGATCAGAGAACGAAAACACTGACACTTTCATAAAACAAAGATTTCCTTCTCACAACTTTCTTTGTATATCCTTGGACATCCTTGGACATCCTTGGATGTCCGTGGATACCCTTGGACCCTTTTGAAAATCCTTGGATCCCCTCAAAATGTTCCTCTTGCTTTTTGTCTGTAGATCCTCCGCGTGTGGATCGATTTTCAAAACTTACCGAGTTTGGAAGCGCATAAATAAAAAAATGAGACATACCCTCTCCCACCCCTTATAATCCCCAACAACCAATTTTTAATCACTTTGAATATTTTTCAAAAAATGCTCGCGTGCCTCTGGAACGTCAAAAGACGATTTTTATTTATTTATTTCGTTTTCTGCCCGTAGCTCCTCCGCCACTGGACCGACTTTCAAAAATCATAAGGTTTTTACTCTTTGGCATAGTAGTAACCTTGTGCCAGAGTTTCATCAGGATCCAAGCGGTTATTTCCGAGTTATGGGGTGCCCAACGATCAGCAGCCAGACATGACCAACTGCAGACAGCGCTGTTTTGTACTCATTCGTAACTCATCAGTGCGGTATAGGTCTTAGCTCTAGTGGGAGGGACAGACGAAACGGAAAGCAAACAAGTGAATGTAATCTTTCGAAAAACTCGAAACATTGTGAGCAAATATATAGATGGAAATCATCGTACGGGATGATGATGAAAATCAGCCTGGTAAAACAACTGGTACGTGGCGATCGTCCGATTTCCATCTTCTTGCGCACAATCTTGAATCTTCCACTTAATTTCTTAAGACCAGGTTGTATCTCGACCAGACAAAATCAGAGCATCTACTGAAAATCAATAGAATTAGTAACACTGGGTTACAAAGCTGATAGATTTCCTCAAATCTCATTGGATCACACCAAGACCCCTATTAATGGAAATGAGAGAGTAGCATCACTGAGAAACAGTGGCGCGGTTTTCTCACCGATTCATGAACACTGATAGGATACTCGCTCACAGAGGCACTCACGGGAATGCAGTGCAGAAGTCTCACCGTCTTCCGTCAGTCTATTTGAAGACGAAGGTAACTTTGTGATGGATCGATTAATGATATGAAGAACCTAAGAACATTTATTTTGCCGGAAATTGATATATTCACAAACTTGTTTGACAAATGTCAACATGTGTCAGAATTTAGGATTATTCCCCAGAAAACATCTCCAGAGAGCATCCTATTCTACTTGCCATCTTCTTAAATTGTTTCAGATGTCATTAAATGTCCGATTTGTCTCTAAACGTCGAAACCCTTAAGGATCCCCCACACCGACGCGGTTGCGATTGCGATAATCGCACCGCTGTCCATGCGGTGCTCAGTTTTCAGAGCCGTAAATAACCGATCACACCAGCGTGGTGCTGACGCGGTTCGCATTGCCACGTTTTTCTCGAATGTCCACAACGGAGAAATTAATTGAACATGTTGAGAAGTACCCAATATTCTACGATTTAAATCACGAGGACTATGCAACTTGCAGGAAAAAGGAACAAGTGTGGGATTAGACTGGAACTTTTCTATATCAACTCTAATAAAATTTAAGATTTCATCAAAACAATCGAGAGTCATTCGAAAGTGTAAAAACGTTGTCGATCTCTAAGTAATTCGGGCATTAAAGTATGATATTCTCCATATATCCTTTATGTTTATTGATATCATGTATCCAATAGGCCAATAATAATAATAATAATAATAATAATAATAATAATAATAATAATAATAATAATAATAATAAGCTCCACAGAAATCCAACCCCTCTTCCGGAGCAAGAAGTCAAGCATTAGCTCCAAGTGTGGAGCGGGCAGCGGCACAAAGAACATCAGTGTGCATAATTCTGGCGAACGGGGCTCTGGTAAGATATATCCACGATGTCAGGTAAAACTACGAAACAGATACCCCAGGTAGGTAGAGCCGCTAGCTCAGAATCCTACACTGCACTTGCAGTCAGTCCCGCGGATTCTGGGGGGGACACCTTGACATTAGGAGCTACAAACGCCCCAGCAAGGACAGGGTTTTGTAATGGAAATCAGCAACCACCAAATCAACGGCTAAGGGGCTCGCGGAACATTAGCCTGCGAAAACCTTACTCAGAACTACCTCCAGCACAAGACCTACATCCCACAGATTCAGTTCAAAGGGACAGTCTTGAAGCACGACCTGATCAGATGAATAATCTTAGAAGACGAAGATGGTCAAAGGAGGAGAACTATGAAGTGATGTGGGCATACTACAGTGCGATTGCAAGTAAAATCGCAGCTCCAAAAACAAGAGGCACTTTCGAGATCTGGAGAAATCGTAATCCAAATATTATGCCAGAAATGAACGCACAAAAACTGTCAAACCAGCGACGTGTAATAGAAAGGAATTTAACGGAAGCAGAACGACAGGAAATAAAATGCGGTGTGTATTCGTACCTTCACCAGCAAGAAAATGAACCTACACTGCCACCTGCTACCATAGAGAGTAATAAAGGAGAGCTAGCTGAGAATAACAACACTCCTATAGCGACTAAGAATGACGAATTATCTGAGAATAACGATGCCAGGTGGCATGCTCAGGGTGAGGCAGTTGAACTGGAAAAACAGATTCTTGAAAAATATCATGATGTGCAGGCTACTCGGATTGAACACCGTAAAGGGATAAAAAAACCAAAGTATGGTAAACACCTGACCGAAGATATTAGAAAAGCGAATAGAGCACTAGGTAAAATCTGCAGAGATAGACAGTTAACAATAACTGATCTCAATCATCTAATATATGCTTCTGCAGCTATAATAGCGGGAGAGGAAGAGAATAACAACAGCCCTAGGACTAAAGAAGGACCTGAAGGCCCCCGATGGAAGATGCGCCTAAAGAACAAAATTTCGCAAATTCGCCAAGAAATATCCATTTTAAGCGAAATAAATAAGGGGGTAGTTTTCAGTCATGTTTTAAATAAAGCTGACCGAATAAGGGCTAAGTATAGCCATTCATCGCTTGGTGACCTAATAAACACACTAAAAATGAAGTTGCAAGCGAAGGCTCAGAGATTGCGGCGATATACAAGACGTGTCGATCAGTACAAACAGAATAGGCTATTCCAAGCAAATCCCAAGAAATTTTACAGGAGTCTAAAGGAAGAAGTACAGGTACAAGAACCACCATCAAAAGAAGATGTCGACTCATTTTGGAGAGACATATTAGAGCAGGAGATACCTCACAACAAAAAAGCTGCCTGGATTGAGCAAGAAAGGCGAAACAACAGCCAAATTGTCACCTCTCAATGGCATGACTATACCGAAGACGAAGTTAAGGAAGTCATTAGGTGTTTGCAAAATTGGAAAGCACCAGGGCCAGATAAGATCTGTAACTTCTGGATAAAATCCTTCAATGCACTCCACTGTCACCTGGCTGTTGCTATGAGCAATTTGACCAAACATCCTAACAACACTCCGCAATGGTTGACAACTGGTATCACATATTTGCTGTACAAAGGCAAAAATTCTAAAGAGGCAAAAAATTATCGTCCAATTACCTGCTTACCCACACTGTATAAGGTTCTTACTTCACTTATTTCTAATAGACTATATGACCATCTGTCCTCTAACAACATTCTACCGTCAGAACAAAAAGGCTGCCGTCGATCAACTCAAGGCTGCAAGGATCAGTTACTCATAGACAAAATGTTAGTTGAAGATGCCAAGAGGAGAAAACGAAATCTAAGCATGGCCTGGATAGACTACGCCAAGGCATTCGACAGTATACCTCATAGTTGGATCCTTGAAGCTCTGAGTTTATATGGAGTTAATCCGATTGTTGTGAAGTTCCTCGAATCATCTATGAAGAAGTGGAATACCGAATTACAGCTGCATCACGCTGAAGGGTGCCTCAAAACTGATAAAATAAGAATCCGCAGAGGGATATTCCAAGGAGACTCCTTGTCACCGCTGCTATTCTGCATCTCCCTGGTTCCACTGACTAACGCTCTGAATTCTGGAAAACTTGGATACGAGGTCAGGCAGGGTTCCTATATAAGTCACCTATTATATATGGATGACCTCAAGTTATTCGCATCCAGCAACAAGCAGCTAGATAGAGAGCTAGACATTGTGAAGCGGTTTAGTGAGGACATATGCATGCAGTTAGGCCTGGAAAAATGTAAAAGGATCACGATTACCAGAGGAAAGATCTCAATGAATGTAAACCAAATAACTGAAAATAGTGCAGGATTTGACTACCTTGATCTAAGTGAAACCTATAAATATCTTGGCGTACATGAAAGTGACGAGGTACATCATGAATCTATGAAAGAAAATGTGAAGAAGGAATACTATGGTCGGTTAAGGCGAATCTTGAGAACAGAACTGAGCGCCGAAAATAAAATAAAGGCAGTCAACAGTCTTGCTGTACCGGTAATGCAGTATAGCTTTGGAATATTGAACTGGAGCGGATCAGACATTGAAAAAATAGATAGAAAAACCAGGAAACTGTTAACCGTCTATAAGTTTCATCACCCCAAAGCTGACAAAGACCGACTCTATATTCCAAGGCGCGATGGTGGCAGAGGTTTAATTGAACTCTGCAGTGCCTACAGGATGACAATTGCCGGCCTTTATGAGTATATACTCCATTCCAACGACAAGTTCATCAAGTTAGTGCTATTGCATGAGCAACAAAAGGCTAAATACTCCATTACAAAGATCGGGGAAGCCATGAAAAGACAATATGCATACCAATTGAACGAAGATCAGTCAGCGGACAACTTGAAACTCAGAGTAAAGGAGGCCATGCGAACAGAAAAAGTCAACGCCCTAAAATCGAAACCACTCCATGGACAGTTCTACAATAACCTACACAAAACCAATGTAGATAAACACATGTCCCTGGATTGGATGAAAAGTACAGGACTGAAGGCGGAGACTGAAAGTCTACTGATTGCTGCACAGGACCAGGCACTTAACACGCGCTACCATAGAAGAATGGTCCTGAAACAGAATGTCGACAGCAAATGCAGAATATGCCATCAATGTGAGGAACATATAAGCCACATTATTTCAGGCTGCTCAACACTGGCACCAACAGAATACACCGAAAGGCACAACAACGTCGCTAAATACATACACTGGGCTATCCTCAAGCAGCACCAAGTACCAGTTAGCAACAACTGGTATGATCATTCTCCTGAAGAAGCAGTAGAGACAGACGAAGCATTAATTATGTACGACAAAGGAGTCATTACCGACCGTACGATTTCCGCCAACCGACCTGATATTATTTACCATAATAAAACACAGAACACATGTCTGCTAATTGAGGTATCTGTACCAGACGACAACAACGTCAACACCAAAGAAGCGGAAAAGGCCAGAAAATACAAAGACCTCGAAATCGAAATATCGCGCATGTGGAAGACAAAGACAAGAACGGTACCCGTGATCATCGGAGCTTTGGGGACTGCCACTATGTCATTCAAGAACAACATAAAAGAACTCCCCGGAGATGTCTTTGCAACACAAGTTCAAAAGATAGCACTGCTAGGAACAGCCCACATTTTGCGGAAAACCCTTTCCGACTAAAGACCTTAGAACTCAGGCAGAGTTCCGGTCAAGCTCATCCCTTCCTCTAGGAGTGAAATACAGAATAATAATAATAATAATAATAATAGTTCTTTTTCATCACAAGACATATTGTATATTAAATCAAACAACATCTGAGGATATCGCGCAGATGAGAAAACTGCCGTACCGCGGTGGCGTAAGCGTGCAGCTATCCCGCTAAATGCGATTTTTAGCGCTGACGCTACTGCTATCGCTGTATCGCGCCGGTGTGGGAGAGCCTTCATGCTGTAACATAATTGCTACGACAGCGATCGCCATATTTCGTTCTAGGTTTTGAAAAGTCCGGTAGCCCACTCTATGCTTACTCACGATGAACGCCACCTATGGAGGAATGGGACAACGACAGTATCGCTTAGGCCATCTAAGATATGAATGACACCCGTTAGTGTCATCTCTGAAGCAGGATGCAACACACACGGCTATTACAAGTAAATTTTGTTCTATACGTGGTAGAAATGAAAATGATCACGCTTTCATTTTGCAATTACGAAATAAGGGTGACGGATATTATCACTCTCATATGAATAGATAAATATATAGCGTTTACTACCCAACAGTTAAGGACGCCGTTTACAGGACAATCCTAAGAATAGATAAATCAAACTAACAAAAATACAAAACAAAAAGCAGGTGATTCTATCTAAAGCAAGAAACAATCAAGAAAAAGAAGCAAGAAACATATTTCACTTAAGTGAGAAACATATCATCCATTTTTTAAGTAATTCCTAGCTACTCCCAGAATGCTGTTTAAACTTTCAGCATGTATATCACAATGATTAAATATGGCATTACAAGTTTCATACATTACATATATGGGTGCATTTTGAAATAAATTTGTGCGAGCCCTGTCACAATAAAAGGTTTTAACCGTACGTTGCCAAATAGATGGGACATTCAAGTTTAGTCGAGTCACAATCTCTTTAGCATCAAGTTGATTGTGCAGCACTTGATGCGAGAAAATAATTGACACACACTTCTTTCTCAGTCTAAAGGCTGCTCTAGAAACCTAGACAATGAAAAAATTTCAGATATGTCCTCAGAATACAAGGGCGGATCCAGGATTTCGTCTAGGGGGGAGGGTGCAAACGATCTTTGGGGCTGGTAATTTTTCTACCTCAGTGGAACTTCTAGATTTTATCCTATTATTGCTCCTTAAATCCATTTTAATCTATCTCTTCAATGACAACTTGAAAAAAAATATGGAAAGTGCTCAGAAATCCTCAGAAAGGAAATATTTTATTATATGAGAACAAAAGAATTACGTGGCATTTATAATTAACTAGTGTAATAATATTAAAGATTAAAACATAAAAAACTTCATTGCTCTGTTAACCAACAAAGACATTTTGAGTGACCTCGAGACATATCCCAGCCATTCCACACAAAGCAATATCTTTGATGGCGAAAACGAACATGAGAACGAAAAATTCACATTATCGTATGGACGCTAGACGAGACAAAGAAGGATGTCTATAGACCATCTATAGATCGTGTCTTGAGACCGTCTCCAGACTGCCTATGGACAAATTGCGCAACGGGGTCTACTAGTGTGTACTTAGCTTAAGGATTAAAACTCTGAACTACCCGTTAAACAAGTCAAGTAATTGGTGTAAATACTGACACAATCAAGCACTTCTATTATATCAGCACGTGATAAAAATATCAATAGGTATAGTCAATTATTTTTTGAAATTCAATATAGATGTTACAGTTATTGTTCAGACTTTCGTTGTCGAACTTAGATTTACGGCATAGTAAAAATATTGGAAATCTTTGGAAAAAACTATATATGTTAGATCGTAATTATTTTGATAATGCATGTTTGTACGAAACAAGAACAGGAATACAGGGCTGTGCAGATTCACGTGAAGTGCAGAAAGTCCGGGCGCATAAAATGGTTACACCAATTTTTGTTTGAAAACTTTTTATTTGACAACAAAGAATGAGAAAACGTGCTTTTTGGGATTCAATCGAAAGTGTTGACAGGAACGAAAAAACTTTTTATGCAAGATTTTTAGGTATTTATGGGACCTACAGAATGAAACCACACGTGTAAAGATCCGACTAATAGCAAAAATGTTATGGCCGAAAAAGCAGGCAAAATGCAGGTTTTGGCACTTGTTGGTAATACGACGATAACTTTACGCAACTACTTGAAATTTTTCAAATCCCCAGGATTCATACTTCTTAATATAACAACAGCAAAATTGGAGTATAATGCTCAAGTAGTTTTTTGAGAATTTCTAACTGTTTATCCCAAAACACCTGTTTTCCGGACATCACTACTAGTTTATTGAGCTATATACAGGATTAGTTCAAAGAGCATTTTACAGCAAAATACATTAACTTACCTTGCCGATATGAATTACAAACCATTAAGAAAGATAAATGTTATTTTTATGCGAAAAACAAAGGTTATGTTTTTTTCTTCAAAGCAAATTCAAACATTTCGTATTTGTGAGTAATTGAGCCGTTGCGCTACGATATTCGTAATACATACGTTACAATACATATTTTAAAACAAAGCAGATGTGTCTATCATCTTTTGTTGGGAGTTACTCACAAAAACGAATTTGTTCAGAAGAAAAACCTAACCCATCCTTTTTTTGCATAAAAGTAACATGTATCTTCCAGAATAGTTTTCGATTCATATCGGCAAGGTAAACTAGTGTATTTTACTATAAAATGCCCTTTGAACTAACCCATGTAACTATATTGCTCAAAAAAACTAGTAGTGATGGCCGGAAAACAGATGTCTTCTGATAAACAATCAAAAATTCTCACAAACTACTTGACCAATCTACTCCAATTTTGTTGTGGTTATTTAAAAATACCAATCCTACGAATTTCAAGAATTTCAAATATCTGCGAGAAACCGTCGTCGCATTACCAACACGTGCCAGGAAGTGCAGTTTGCCTCGGTTTTCGGCGATAACTTTTTTGCTATTAGTCGGATCTTTTTACATGTGGTCTCGTTTTATAGGTCTCATAAATACTTAAAAATCTTATCAGGAAAGTTTTTTCGTCCCTGCCAATTATTTAGATTGAATCCCAAAAAACACGTTTTCTTTTTCTTTGTTGTCGAATATAAAGTTGTGTACCCATTTTATGCGTCTATGCTTTGAATACCCCCTTGAGCAACTTGCAGCAATAAAACCAGACTTTAGAATTATTTTGCAAACCAGGGGTATTTTCGTCTAATATGATTAGACTAATAGTGCTTCGCTGCAACACCAACTCCGAACAAAATCAGTCAAACTTTACACACTTTTCAAATTATTATTGAGCAACAAACAGAACATAAATCACTTTTTAAGTGTAATCTGTATAACTAATATACTACTTAGACTATAAATCGTAAGAATTGTGCTGTAAACGTAAGTGATGCAATGCTCAGTTCCTATAGCTATAACTTATAGTTAGTATGCCTCTTTCACCATGATGTGTTAGAAAGCAACACAATGGTGTTAGATTACAAAAGCAAGTGTCAGAAGTCTAGGGGGGGGGGCGCCCCCCGCGCCCTCCTCTAAATCCGCCAATGTCAGGGTATGCACCGTCAACCTGAGAAACAATGTACAGGTATATATGCAGAATACAAAACTAACAGTGACTCTGGGCGGTTAAAGCTTCTGCACTCCCGTGAAGCTTCACTTACCTTTTGAGCTATATGGAGTTAAAAATTAAGTTTATGACATCCAAATCGTTAAGTGAGCCACAACGATTTATGTAAACATCCCCAATCTTATAATTAAATTTATAAACAGACATTTCCCTGGAAAACCTGACTACACTACCTACTCTTGGCCGCATTAACGAATACATTATTTCTGACACACCAAGCTACTAAAGGATCAATATCTCGATGAAGTGCAATACAATCAGCCCCAGAATCAATAATCCTGAATAATCCTAAATCATCCTCAAATGCAAGCTTATTACAACATAAATGATGCGTAATATCATCAATAAATGATGTAAACAATAAAGGACCAAAGTTTGAACCCTGAGGCACTTTCGATTAAGTTACGTACAGGTACAATTGAACGTAACATATTGCTTCCTTTCATAAAGATAACTTTGAATGAGTGCTCATATTTACTTCGTATTTATTCAGTTTTATACTTCTGATTATACTGTTACGACAATGCTTTTGTCCGGGAAAATATACGTACCTACTAAAGATCGCTTGAACATGTTGGGCTATATCGCTTCCGGTTAGAATTTGTGTATCCAACTACGTGTATACAAAACACAGCTTCGATTTTATCGTTTTGTTTGCCGCGTGTCGGATTAAAATCTCATCTGGCGCACAGCGTTCGTTAGTATCAATTAAGTCGGACCGGATGCAGAGTTGGCTGTGAACGAACGGTTTTTGCAAGGCCAGGATGGTTTATCACTCCATCAGAACACCAATGTACAGATTATTGCTTTTGCATTTTTCATGCGCGCCGTAATTGCGCGTGTCCGAAATTTCGTCTTTTTGGCGTTCAGATTTTTGCCGTTGGAACGTGACATACAGACGTTCGGTTCAATATCAATCAAACGGTTATAGTTTAGATGAGGCTGTTGATGAAAAAATGGCGCCAGGTAGATTGACTCTGCACTTCCCACGCAATGCAGGCATCAATTCAACAAAAATCATGTTCAGCCCAAGCTAACTACCAAAGCATATATCAAAATATCGATTGGATCAAGTCAGCCAAACAAGAGCATAAATCGATGGATATAGAATGACTTAGCTTTGCTTATTGCAGTTTCCCCGTCACACCCACTGGCGGATTTAGAGGGGGGCGCGCACCCCCCCTAGACATGTGACATTTGCTTTTGCAATCTAACACCATTGTGTGACTTTCTGTCACATCATGGTGACGGAGGCATACTAACTATAAGTTATAGCTATAGGAACTGAACATTATGATTTTTTGGTAACCTTTGGTATTCCAAATGCTGTCCCTTTT